GGGTCCCTAGACCTAGCTTCTTGCCATCAGGGCTGTCTTCTGCCGTTCGCCAGTCCCAGGCTGAACACTGCCTCTGCTGCTGGGCTGTCAGGCTGTTGGGGTCACCAGTTCATCCCTGGCTGCTCAGGGGCTCACACGGGTGCCGCTGCCACTGGGGCTCGAGGCGCTGATGGAAGCTGCGAGGCGCGCCCGTGACATACTGTCCTGGTATGAGCGGCACTGAGCAGGCAGCACATTCCATCAGCGGTAGACCCAGCGCACGCGCATGGAGGTGAAGTCACCAGCGCCTGCTTTCCCACAGGCTTGAGCCCCTGAGCAGCAGGGGATGAGCTGGTGATCCCAACAGCCTGACAGCAAGCCCGGTCCTCCTGCCACCCACCCGGATTCCCTCGTTCACCATCGCTGATCCATTGGAGCCTGTTGGCCGGGGGCAGGGACCAAGAGGTCAGCCGTTCAGCCTGCTCTCCAGTCCCCAGTCCTGCCCTGCTACCACTCGCGGGCCGGGGGGTGAAGGGGGATTGGGACCAAGAAGTGGTCAATGCCACCTCATGGCAACTGGTCGAGTGGTCTTTCTGATCATGACACTTATGGCCTCTGGCCTTTTATTATATAGATATACAGTACCTATGGGCACAGGCAATAGGGTGGTGAAGGCCTGGGGCGGGGTGGAAACCAGGTGGAGGGGGCAATGGGAGGAAAAAAGGGGGACATCTGTAATACTCTCAATAATAAAGATTTTAAAAAGCAAAAACAAGTGTTGGTGAGGATTTGGAGAAAAGGGAACTCTCATATACTATTGGTGGGAATGTAGATTGGTACATCCACTGTGAAAAGCACTATGGAATTTCCTCAAAAAATTAAAGAATGGAGCTGCCTTATGACCCAGTGATTCCACTTCTGGGAATTTATATGAAGAAACCCGAAACACCAATTTGGAGGAATATATGCACCCCTATGTTCATTGCAGCGTTATTTACAATAGCCAATATTTGGAAGCAGTCCAAGTGTCTATCAGTAGAGAGTGATTGCTGGGGTCCTGCCCCAGCAGGTCCAGGGGTCCCCAAAGGTGTGGACAGAGTCAGCGAAGAAGGAATGACACGGAGGCAGCGTTCAGTTGACCAGCATGGTTGGGTTCTCCTGGTTCTATCTAGGATCTCCAGTCAGCTTCTGTCGTCATGTTCTGTTGCTAGGTTCTCCAGACTGGTTCTGTCAATCTAAGTTCTGTACTATCCACCTTCTTACCCTACTTATCCTCTATAGGGGGGTCTGCAGTACCCTGGTGGAGTCCTATCTGTCCCGAGTGTGGGGGTTCTCAATGTGGGGGGGCTTACCTAGGGGAATCCTGTTCCAGGGGTTCCCAAAGGTGTAGACGGAGTTGGCGAAGACTATCCACCCTCTTCCTATGGTGGAGTCCTATCTGTCCCGAGTGTGGGGCGCTTACCTAGGGCCTTTTTGGGCGCCAGATGCTGGGGTCCAACCTCAGCAGGTCCAGGGGTCCCCAAAGGTGTGGATGGAGTCAGCGAAGAAGGAATGACACGGAGACAGCGTTCAGTTGATCAGCAGCCTAGCCAGGATCTCTAGCCAAGTTCTGGTCAGGATCTCCAGCGAAGTTCTGGTTAGGATCTCCAGCCAGGTTCTGTAGCCATGTTCTCTCACTAGATTCTCCAGCCAGGTTCGGTCGCCAGGTTCTAGTCAGGTTCTCTTGCCATGTTCTATCCAGGTTCTGTAGCCAGGTTCTGTCTCTAAGTTCTTTGGCCAGGTTCTGTCGCTAGGTTCTGTCTCTAGGTTCTGTGTCCAGTTTCTGTCCAGGATCTTTTGCCATGTTCTCTCCAGCGAAGTTCTTCTGTCTCTAGGTTCTGTGTAGGTTCTGTGTCTAGGTTCTGTGTCCTGTTGTCTTGTTACATCTGTATTTATACCAGTTGATTCCAATCCTATCAATCTCTATTCCAAAGGTTAGGGCATTTCTTATCTCCATTCCAGGGAGTAAAGATTATGTAGCTTAAGCATGATTGTTCGTAGTTAAAGTGATTAATTACCCGCCTGGCACTTAGTTAAGGGGTTTTATTCCCTCCCTAACTTCAGGGGAAAATCCCTACCTGGGGAAACAACCTTTCTCAGAGAGGTGACCTTGGTTAAAACACATAGTGCCAAGAAGGTGAGCAAACATATTAAGAACAGTATGCCATATATACCAGGTCCCTTGAAACAGCAAGGATGGACCAGCTCCCGGCAAGTGATTAAAAAGATGTGGTACATTTACACACTGGAATACTACTCGGCTGTAAAAAAAGAAGGAAATATTACCTTTTGCAACAGCATGAATGGGCCTGCAGAGCATTATACTAAGTGAAATAAGCCAGTCAGAGAAAGACAAGTACCGTATAATTTCACTCATGTGTAATCTAATGGATAAAATGAACTAACAAGCAAAATAGAGGAAGACTTATAGAGAGCAGGCTGATAGCCGTCATGGGGGGATTGAGCAAAAAGAAATAAAAACATGGACATGGACAACAGTGTGGTGATTTCTGGGAGAGGGAGAGAGAAGGAGGAGGTTGTAGGGGGATAAGTGGTGATGGATGGAGACTTGACTTGGTGAAGTGAACACAATACAGTGTATAGATGATGTGTTGTAGATTGTGCACCTGAAACTTGTATAATTTTTGTTAGCCATTGTCACCTAAATAAATTCCATAAAAAGGAAAAATAATCCTAATCTATAAATTGAGTTTAATAATAGATTCAGTAATTATTTCCCACTTTATATTAGGGGTTGATTAAATCATGACATACATCTCATTATGATATATCTCATTTGATACATTTTTTGAAGTTTATTTTTTTCAGTAACGTTTTCCTGAAATCATTTTTACTTTTATTACTTTTTGATTATGTAAATGACTACAAATAAGATACATAACTTTATTTTCAAGGCAGTGATAGCAAAGTAAATGTGGTTTAAACATTAACAATTGGTGTTTATTTTTTTCATAGCCTAATTTTTTTTGACATTTGTTTTTATTTATTTTTTTAAATTTTGTTTTATTGCTTAAAGTATTACAAAGAGTATTACATATGTCTCCTTTTTTTCCCCTGCCCTTGACAATCCCCTGGCATCCTCTACCCCCCAGTGTCTTATGTCCATTGGTTATGCTTATTTGCATGCATACAAATCCTTCGGTTGATCTCTTACCCTCCCTCCTTCCCCCCAGCCCTTCCCGGCCTTCCTGCTGTAGTTTGACAGTCTGTTTGATGCTGCTCTGCCTCTATATCTATTTTTGTTCATCAGTTTATAATGGTCTTTATTATCCATAAATGAGTGAGATCATGTGGTATTTTTATTTTATTGACTGTCTTATTTCACTTAGCATAATGCTCTCCAGTTCCATCCATGCTGTTGCAAATGGTAAGAATTCCTTCTTTTTTATAGCAGCATAGTATTCCATCGTGTAGATGTACCACAGTTTTCTAATTCATTCACCTGCTGATGGGCATTTAGGCTGTTTCCAAATCTTAGCTATGGTAAATTGTGCTGCTATGAACATAGGGGTGCATATATCCTTTCTGATTGGTGTTTCTCCATAGCCTAATTTTTGATTTATTAATTTTTTAAATTAAATTTACTGGGGTGACATTAGTTAATATGATCATTTAGTTTTCAGGTGTGGGTTTCTATGTTACAAGATCTGTATATTGCACTGTGTGCCCACCACCCAAAGTCAGATCATCTTCCGTCACCATATATTAGGCCCTCTTTACCCTCCCACCCCTGCCCCCTTCCCCTGGCAATCACCATACTGCAGTTTGTGTTCACTAGTTTCAGTTTTATATCCCACATATTAGTGAAATCATATGGTTAATAGTGAAATCATATGGTTAATCATATAACAGAATGAAAAGCATTCTGTTCTGATTTGCATTTTAGTGCTGAGAAATTTTCATTTTTGTTTGTTGTAGTTGTAGCAAGAACAGTATGTCCTCCTATGAGGCTTCAAAGAGGGTACCAATTTATAGATCCTTTTGGATATGTTTCAAAATTCAATATTTCTTTTTGATGTTACAAATGAAGGTAGGAGGAAGGTAGAGACATGGATGTAGCAAACAATACAACTGTATATATCTTTTTCCGTTCATTTTCATACAACATTACTCACTGTGTTTGTTTGGTTTTTGTTTGGTTTCATAAAGAGTCTGAGTATTTAGAAAGGTGTGGGACCATGTCCTATTGGAGATTGCATTGTTAGGTTATGAGAGAAGAAAATATTATTTGGCTTTGGAGTTTTCCTGTATAATTATAAGAGGAATTTCCAAATAACATAGTCAGAATTTATAGTAACTTTTCCAGATGGTGATTGTGAAGCAATAATTGAAAGCTGCTGTAGGAAATAAAACAGTATTTTTCATTAAGTAATCATTTAGTCGACGTTGGTTAAACTGAAGAACATTTTACCAGATACCTAAGTGCTCTTCTCATAATTCAGAACCATACAGATTTTAACTCTTCTAGGCCAAAAGTAAGAGAACTGCTGTTCAAAATGAATTTGATTATAACTTTTAGAAAAGTTAACAGTAAAAAGTGTTTAGTTTTAAAGTTAAACACTTTGAGACATATGCAGTTCAAGAAGTAATTTTCCTAACTCAACGTAAATTCTGAGGTGCAAATCTAGCCAATTCAGCCAAGCTGTTGCTCATTTTGCATTCTGTCATCACCCGTTTATTGCACTTGGGAGAGAACGATGGGGAGGTAAAAAGAACAATTGTTTCTCACTTATTTCTATGACTTACATAAATTCTAGACTCTCCAATAAAATAGGCTACAAGGGACCAGCTTCGTTTGTGTGCTGAGTGTGTAGCTCATATTCATCCTGAGTTTAGTGTTTACTGTGTCAGAATTATGTGTAGCCATCTAATTTCGGCTATTCAGTTTGCAATTATAAACTTGATGGCAGGTTTCTTAAATATCTGTGTGTTGTTGTTGTTGTTGTTTATTTTTTTTAAAGAGATTTCCCAAAGTTGCAGATGGCTGGCTCATCTCCAAATACCTCTTCAAGGTACTCTATGCTGGTGATGTCTCCCGCCACTGAGCTGCGCGGGAGCATGGAATTGACTTACTGGGGAGGGCTGTATCAGTTAAGTGATCTTTTTTAGTACATTGCATGGGTTTTGCAAAGCTTTCTGTTTTTGTTTTTGTTAATTTAGAGGGCACAAGTATGCTTATGCTAATTCTTTAAGTAATAGCTTGTTGTAAACTCACACAATATAATAATTCATTTACTCTCCTTCCTCTCCATGTGACTCCCCTCCGTATTTCTCTTAAACCCCATGGTTTTAAGTACTATTTTATTAACCAAGTATGCATATCTGTGTTATTTATATTTTATTAGAATGCTTAATGATGTATGATTTATTGGTTATCTCCTCAATTTTGTAAGTGCTTTGTAATAGTATTTGTATTACATGCGAACCAGGGCCTCAGGGAAGCTGTGTGAATTTTCAAAAATCACTCAGTAAAGCATACATGGGCACTATCCACAATAACTGCTTTGCCATTCTTTAACCATTAGTGGGACTGTATTCTTTAGTTTCCTTTCTCCCAGGTAGAATGCGTACTTCTTATTCGTTTAGTCAAAATACTTCTATTGAGTTCCTGCTGTGTGCAAAACACACTGCTGGGCTCTGCACTTATGACCTAGCCTTTTACTATATGTTTTAATTAGAAAATAAACGTTCTAGTGTTTTCAAAGGTAATACTAAGATAAAGAATAGAATGTAGAAGAGAAATATCTTCTCATTTCCTCAATCCTAATTCCCACAAATAATAATTTTAAAAAATTTCTTTTATGTTCCCTATGTATATATAGCCTTAATCACTATTGAAATAAATTATGCTTGATTTCTTTAGGTCTGCACTTTTTTTGTGTGTTAATCCTCACCCGAGGATATTTTTCCATTGATTTTTAGAGAGAGTGGAAGGGGAGGGCAGAGACAGAGAGAGAGAAACATTGATGTGAGAGAGACACATTGATTGGTTGCCTCCCAAACGAGTCATGACAGGTGTCGAGGCTGCCACCGAGGTATGTTCCCTTGACTGGAATCGAACCTGAGATCCTTCAGGCCGACGCTCTATCCACTGAGCCAAACTGGCGAGGGCTAGGTCTACACGTTTCTACATAGCTCTCTGTATGGACCTCAGCCCTCGGTACTTTAATTAAATCTGCCAGTATTCTAAACCTTGTATTAAAAAAGCTGGTGAAGAAAAACACACACAAAACTCTTGTATTCTACTTGGCAAGATGGCCAAATGACTGGGATAAGTAAACCTATTCAGTCAAATTCAGTTTTCAGATTTTCAGGTGAACTTGTTTATCTTAATTTTTGGTTTTGGAAGATTAATATGTGACTCACTTTTATTGTATAGGTACATACTTTAGACATTTGTTTTAGGTATCTGTGATAAATTTCTTAGCAATGAACAAGACATTAATTGTTGCAGTAAGGGATGATAATTACATTTTATAGATTAGTAACTGATTCATATTTGCTAAATGATTTCCTGAAGCATCCTGTAAGTAACATACAGAACTAGTAATATAAATACAATTACCTAGTCAAGACTCAGACTTCTTCTTAAGATTCAGTATAAAGTGTAAGTTAGTTTTAAAGTTTTTAACTTTATCTTTTTTAGAACAGTAATATATTTTATGTAGAATATTATTCAAGATCATAATTTTATCTTCAAAGCTGGATGAATGGTCTAATAAATATGAATCTCAACTAATAATGCTACTTTATTTATTTATTTTGTTAATCCTCACCAGAGGATATATTATGAAGTGATACTAATTAATCTTCTCATTGAGAGAGAGAGAAACAGCAATGTGAAAGATACACATTGATTGGTTGCCTCCCACACATGCCCAACTGGGGCCAGGGATCAAACCTGCAACTAAGGTATGTGCCCTTGACTGGGAATTGAACCCGAGACTCAGTGCACAGGCTGGGATGATGCTCTATCCACTGAGCACACTGGCCACGGTTCCACTACCTTTTTTAAAAGGAAAAGATTCTAACCTCTTATAGAAATGGGAATTTTCTCTGTTTAGTAAAAAGGTAGTGGAAAATATCAAACTGATTTTATAAGTTAGCAGTAAGAAACTTAGGGCTGTTGTCACAAAATTTAAAGTGAAAAGTGTAATATCTAACTATTAATGTATTGCCAAAAATAAATCCACAAGTAATCAATTTCCTTTAAGCATCTGAAAACATTTGCAGTGATATCAGAGTGATTTATTAAGATTTGATGTGACTGTTTTTATTACTTGTCTATATGAATAGTAGCTACAAGGCAATAGTCTGATATTACCATCTAGGTGATGTATTATAATGCTGACAGAACTTCACCTTGTGAGAACAGTTTTCCATTCGTAATTAAGCACTAATAAAGACTGGAGAAAGGGAGTCACTTAACATATTCATTTATCTTTATATTATCAAAAGATTATATGCCATTAAGCACTACTTCATTAAAGAAACACTTATAAGCCAAACACAAACATTGCATGAAGTGAATAGGCATTTGACTTAACTAATGGAGAAGAGTAATTTTAGAATAATATTGGATTCTAAAAATTACATTATATTTTTAGGTGCAGAAATGAGGCAGTTTCGTGGGAAAGATATGACATAGCTTGTTAGTAGCAGTTCACCTTTTAGTCTAGCAAACTTTTCACCACTTATTTCTGTGCATGAAACAAATTAGAGTTGGATTAATGGAATGGAAGTAAATGTCAAAAGCTTGTTTAACTTTGTCATTGGTAAAAAGTCAACTTCTAAGAATATATATAATTGAAAGCATATTATACATCTATACTCATCAGAGCTTCAAAAAGACAATTTTTAATGACAGCATATTTCTTCTCTGGAATAAAATTTATTCAAGATGCAGGTTAGTGTCTTGTAAAGTGATTTGCTTTTCTGGTTATTTTTAAAGGAAATGGAATATCTTGGAAATGATTATTTATTACACTGTTGGTTTTTAAAGGCACAATCAGATTGTAGTGTTTTGTTTTGTTTTAATATTCCTGTTGAATACTGGTTACAGACTAAGTACAGTGTTTTGCTAGCAATTAATCTGTTTAAGTAAGAGTGATATTCAAGTAATAATATTTCAAATAACCAATTGAATACTTCTATTATTTTTAAAATTTTTAATTGATTTTTTTTTTAAGAGAGAGAAATGTTGATGTGAGAGTGAAACATCAACTGTCTCCTGCACTCCCCCTACTGGGGATCAAGCCTATAACCTGGGCATGACCAAGAATCAAACCAACAACCTTTCAGTGCACAGAAAGACGCCCAACGAACTGAGCTACACTGGCCAGGGCAAACAATTCTAAATTATTTTAAACCAAATTCAACCCTTTTCATGGATGCAGAAATTATTTAATTACTTAAATAAAATTCTAGGACATACAGACAATTTACATGAAAGTTTGTTTAGTGATTCTAACAAGGGAATCCACCTTCTCCTAATCAAAGCTGATCTTTTGAATGTGGACAACAATTCAGTGTCTTGATTTAAGAACTTCACATTGGAAATGATGCACATGGGAGAGTGGAGAAGGCAGAATCAAGCCAAATCCTCCTCACATCTAGTTGGTTGAGTAGACAGAGTATTATGAAGATACTAGTTTTTTAAAACCCTGTAAGTTATGCTAATATGTCATTCTATTAATTGTTTAGTTTCTTAGTTTGCAATCTTGGAAATCTTGTCATGTCTTAGGTAAAGCCTGGTAGATCGCATATCCTACCCACAGCAAGAGTTGTAAGGATTTAGTACCCATTCTTTCTCTGTTTAACCTAATTCCAGATTTTTTAGTTTTTCATTTTCTTTTCTCTCCTCTAAAAATAGGACTTTGTTATATTCTTTTGGTTTTGACACCTCTACTATTTCTATTTTTCCTTGGCCATGTCAGACTCATGAGGTTTAAAATAAAGTCATTAGAGAAACCTTGAGATTCTCCCTTTTTTAGGATCCCTGCCGTTGTTTAGTACTCTGTTTCTTGAGGGAGGACTGGCAGCTACACCTTTTTAAAATTATAGAGTGATCCCAGTTAATTAAGGTAAAGACAATTAGTTGAGACTAGACATTTTAGGGAGGCAAAATTAGAAAGGTTGATATGAGAAAAGGTTGGATTATGGAATAAATTTTAAAGATTTTTTTAGATTCTAAGCAAGTTAAGGGAGAAACTTTTAATTTTACATCTCATTTCCACTTTGTGGTGGAAGAGGAGCTTTGGTCCCTTAACTATTTGATAGTAGTAATCATAGTAGCAGTAATTGTTAACATCTGTACTGTACTGTATGCTGATTGCTGTACCCACATTATCTCATTTAATCTCCAAGTGTTACCATGTTGGTACTACAGCTATTGTTAATTTATAGAAGAAAGACTTATACAGTTAAGTCATTTGCTCAAGATCACATAACTAGAAAGTGATTTGACTCAAAACCCATATTCCTAACCACGAGGCACCCTGCTTCCTCTCCAAATGGCTAACAAATTGACATGAAAATTGCCCTAAAGACCAACTATATTGAGATACTGTTCTAGGAACTTCTTTAACCAAAGAAGAGAAGAAGCAAAGGACAGTAATGGGGAGAGACTGAGATGAAGAAGAGATATTTTAAATACAGTATTCTTAAAGATTTCTGTTTGTTGGTAGTAATATTTGATTTTTAAGGAGACATTTGAGTTATATATTTGAGTGAGTATTTGTAGATGCATTTGTGTCTTATTTATCTATGTAAATATATTCTAGAATATTTAGTATTTGTAATCTAGCATGGAGACCTCTTGATACCAGATTGTCATTGAACTGTTACTATAAAAAGATACTAATTCAGATTTTTAAAATTCAAATTTTTATATAGCATTGCAATTAAGATCTGTTTTGTGCTGATTTACCAGTTGCATTGTTTAATAAATATTTATTGAATGCTTACTATGATCCAAGCACTGTGTCAAGTGCTAGAGATCTGTTTAAAGAAAAATAAGACACAATCCCTGCCTGAGCAGTTTTACCACCTAATATGTGAGACAGTCAAGTGAACAGGTAATTGTAAGGATAAGTAAGCAAAGGGTGCCATGCCAGCACATAGGGAGGGGCTGAATCACCATTGAGATCACACAGGGCTTATAACAGCGGTTCTCAACCTGTGGGTCGCGACCCCTTTAGGGGTCGAACGACCCTTCCACAGGGGTCGCCTAAGACCATTGGAAAACACATATATAATTACATACTGTTTTTGTGATTAATCACTATGCTTTAATTATGTTCAATTTGTAACAATGAAAATACATCCTGCATATCAGATATTTACATGACGATTCATGACAGTAGCAAAATTACAGTTATGAAGTAGCAACGAAAATAATTTTATGGTTGGGGGTCACCACAACGTGAGGAACTGCATTAAAGGGCCGCGGCATTAGGAAGGTTGAGAACCACTGGCTTATAAGAACAGGAGGCCTTTAAAATGTCCTGAAAGATGGCAGGAGTTACCTATCGCAATATATAGGCTTCCTATTCATTGAGTAACCATAAGTATATTATTAGAAATATTGGGGGGGGCGGCTTTTAAAAATACCAATGCCTAGACCTGCCCCTAAGGATTCTGGTTATTTAGTTGTGGGGGAGCCCAGGCATGAGTATGTTTAAAAAGAAGCCCAGCTGTTTTACGGGCTGCCATGGTTGGAAATCACATACCACTTCAGACACGGCTCCGAAAATGGTGCTTGCTGACCACACTTTGATGTTGCTTAGAGAGAAGCTATTACTGGGGAAGGGAAGGTTCGAGATAAAAAAAATTAATTGAAACAGAGAAGCACAGATTTAAAAATATAAAAGCCAACATTTCTACATTAAGATTAAACAACTTACCCAGGTAAGATTAATTGAATAAAGTTTTAAGCATGGATCTGCTATTCAAAGTCCTGCATAGAAATACCAATATTATGGTACACAGAAAAGAATATTTGTTCATCAACAGACACATAATTGCTCAAATCTGAATGGTAAATTCCTGAAGGACTTTTCCAGGGTTGGTGACTAGAAGAGAGCAGGTGAATGATAGTTACAGGGAACTTTGTGGCTTTATAGATGAGAATGGGTGGGTACAAGATTATGAATAATTAGTCAATATAGGATCCTAATTGATTATATTTACTTATAGTTCTGACCACACACACTTATTTCATTTCTTTGAAGTATCTACATAAGAGAAGAAAAAAGGTTATATTTTTTACTTTTTCGTTTTTCTGAGCGGAGAAAGCTTTAGAATACGACTGGTGACATTTAAATTAATGCTTAACTAGAACCACTAGGAAAATTATCCAAGTGATATATAAAAGACTATATTAGAATAATAGGATGTTAAGCTGCAGTATGTTTTTTAGTGTATAGACTCTTTTTACTTCATTTAGTTTGAATTTACTGTTGAAAAACTGTGATTGAGGTTCATTAAATAAATTTCCCAAGGTGACACCTAGTTGTAAAGGTAGACCAGGACTAGATCTCAGGCTGATTGATGTTGAGATCAGTGTCCTTTCCATTATAGCACACCACACTGCCTTTTAATTTTCAGCGTTTTATTGTTCTTGCATGTTGAATTTTCTAGTCTAGTTTTCTTTTATTTTGTATTGTAATTTGTCTCCTGAAGGTCAAGTAACCTGGTTTGGTTATGAAAGTCCTCGTAGCTTCTGGGACTATATCAGAGTGGCTTGCCGGAGAGTTTCACAGAATTGTATCTGCAGCATTGAAAATATGGAAAATGTCAGTTCCTCTAGAGCTAAGGTAAGACAGAAATAACATGAAATGTATATAATCTGAAGCAGTCTTGACCCAGTTAGAACAGTTCAAGCTCTTTGCTATAAAACATTTATTTTCTTTGTTGGAATTAAGCACTTGATCAAATTTAACATCTTTCAGAGGCTTGTTTCCTTTTTTATTGTATTTCGTTATTTTAGAATGCTCATGAATCTTTACTATTGCTTTATGAATAGCAAGAAGGTATGAAGCTAGTCACTACTGAGAACAATGAAATGTGTCCCATTCTGTGAATTTTCTGTTTTTATTGAATTACCTAAACCAGTGACTCTCAGTGTCCAGCAGAACCCTGGGGGTCCAAAATGTCAAAACTATTTTTCATGTAATAGGAAAATGTTATTTGCATTTTGCACTGTGTTGACATTCTCGTTGCTGGTGCAGAAGCAATGGTGGGTAAAACTGCTGGTGCCTGAGCACAAATTAAGATAATGGTATCAAACTATTATTAGTTATCATTGAGTTCTCCCCCACCATCAGCTCAGTCTTAAAACAAAACAAACAAACACACACACACACACACACACACACACAAAATAAAACACCCCACAGTCACTTAAAAATGTCCAGGACAATACAGTAAACATTTTTAATTTTATTAAACCTCAACCTTTGAGTACACTGTAACAGATTGAATGCGAAGCAGATATCTAGTTCTCTTTTATTAAGCCATGCATTAAGGAAAAATGTAAAAACAGTCACTTTTCTCACTAATATTTTTGTTTAGGAAAAGATAATTTTTCACAAAAATTTTATTTAAAATTAACATAGAATGGGTTTATTTTTAATTAAAAATTTAAAAGTTTATAGTTTGGGCTTGTCATATAGTAAATATTAATTGATACAACCTATATAAAGACTCTTTGGAGTCCTCAATAATGTTTAAGATTGTAAAATGTCAGAGCTGCTGTTATAAACTATATCAGCTTCAGTTTAGGAGTTGATTTTTTAAAATTGGATTGGCCATAGTAGCTTTCCTTTCTGTATATATATTTTTAAACCTTGCCTTAGGATATTTTTCCATTGATTTTTTTTTTTAGAGAGATTAGAAGAGAAAAGGAAAAACAGAGAGAAATATTGATGTGAGAGAAACACATCAATTGGTTGCCTCCTGCACATACCCCCGACCAGGGCCTGGTAGGAGCCTGCAACTGAGGTCCGTGTCCTTGACCGGAATCGCACCCGGAACCCTTTGGTCTACAGGCTGACATTCTATCCACTGAGCCAAACCGGCTAGGGCTCCTTTCTATTTTTGACACTTAATAATTACAGAATGAAACTAAGTAGAAAATAAAGGTTGAGTATAGATATGTAAGGTTTTAAGATCAAGATATAATTCAGGTCATTATTTCATAATTATAAACTTACAAATTACATGTCTGTATAATAAACAAAAGCATAACAATCATCTTTCAAATGTGTTGTTTCCAAATTTATTGTTCCTGTATCAGTTTTTATTTAAGAATTCTTTTTTTTGGGAAAATTTTTGTTCACAAAATTGACTGATACATATTGGAATTAAAACATGTTTGTAAAATATGAACTGAGTATTTTTTAAAAACAAGATTTATAATATTTAAATTCAGTGACATAATTAGAAACATAGTTAAACAGCTTAAAATTTCATAATATGGAAGTGTGTTGTTGGGTAAAGTTAATGGCTATGGTTTTTGTCACTTTTGAAGATGTTTCTAAAAGCACTGCTTCCTGCTGCACAGCCTCCTGCCAGTCTCCAGTCAGGCGTTGTCTGAGCAACAGTTAACTTTCTGCTTCAGTGTCTTCGAACTCTTTTATGTTGAATCAGTTTCTCCTGCCTCAGATATTTTTTAGGTCAATAAGTATCTTCTTTTTAAAGTCAGTTATAACTATATTTTTAAATTAAAACCTTTTTCTCAGAGATGTTTTAACTTGTATTAACAAGTTTCTTTTTAGTCACAATTATTGTCTGCTTAGTCCTTTGGCCGTCATTTTTTGAACTATTGAATTTATTCATTTATTTACTTTCTAATTGTCTGTTTATAGGTTTTAAAAATGTACAATTTGAATTTTCCTTTGCATTTTAATTGAGTTTGTATTAGTTTTCTTTATGGTTTAAGAGTAATACTTTGGTTTCTGTAGGTTAAGATTAAAAGACTAGCTGTAATTTGAATGGATCAAGTCTATGAAAATTGAAAGTAACCTAGGTGCTACATAAACTTGATTTTCTTATTTTCAAACTAAAAGTAGGAAAGATTAACATGACAAGTGTATTCTAACCTCTTTCAATACAGAAGAGAATATATTTATAGAATTAGCATGCCTCAAAGCACAAAAGGTAATTGAAAAGCTAACAAACATTAGAAATGCCACATTTGGACATGGGTGGACCAAGAAAACCCGAACCCTAGCTCACCACCTCTCAGCGGAGAACGTTAATATTTATTCTGTAAAGAAACACACAAAACACCGAAAATGGTGTTGAGTATCAAAACACCACAGAACAATCATGTTCCAAATCCTGCATTTATGCCTTTGTTTTGACCAGACCTCAAACAGATTCCATTTAATGAGGAAACAGAAACATTCTTTAAATGTGGTTGAGTTGATTGAATCCGGATTGTCCGTGTCCTAGTACCACTGTACAATTTTAGAGTCACATTGTAGTAACTTGCCACCCTGGGAGACCTGATACCTTGTCACTCTAACCTAAAATCTATGAAATGCCGACCTTTCCCATTCTTCACTTAGTCTGTGACTTGTTGGACTGATTTTCTAGGGCCTACACATAGCCTAACAATGGAATAAATTATTTGAATTGAAGATCATATCTCTATTTTCCATATCAGATATATTTGCATCTGTTTTTTCTACAGTATGCAGGGATTCTGGAACATACTATTTCTATACATCAATTTTTTAGGTTTCAGACTAGAATTAGTAGTGTTAGAAATATAACTGCGACTTAGCTTAGCCATATTTCCTATCTGCTCAGAAGCTGGCTGGTCACTGCTCTGTCCGAGAGGCAGATTAGCCAAATGTTCTCCTGACAGAGGCAGAGGGGGCATTAATCAGATATACCAGAATTATCAAATACCGTAACTTTACAGTAAGATGCAATATTGCAAAGAGGCCAGTTTTATGATCATTTTTCTTTTACTGACTCACAAATCTATCTCCCTTTTAAACCACCACTTGACAGTTATTTATTGTGATGGCCTCAACTCTGGAATACTGTCAGAAATACTTGGGGAGCTTTCAAAATAGAAAGTTTCCCAGCAGAAAACAGACGTACTCTGATTCTGCCCATTTGTTTGACACTCTATCCATTTTAACTTCATATGACTCTTTCTAAAATACTGTATTTTTCATATCATTCCTTTTCTCCACTTCTAACTGGTAGCTCCAGTGCCTAGTAGTTATGAGCAAGTTATTTATCTCTTTAGTTTGATTCACTTATTTAATAAGTATATACCGAATACCTCCTGTGTGCCAGAAACCATTGTAAATGTTGAGGATAGAGTGGCAGTGGTGAAAAAGATGGCAAAGAGCAAACGTTACACACACATTCCATTTTAGTAATACAGTAAACAAATATATACACACTATCTCAGGGGAAGTTAGAAAGTGATAAGAGTGGTGGAAGAGATCAGGAAGGATTCTGTGAAGCAGTAGTTGAGTCAGGATGTAAATTATGGAAAGAAATGTGCTATGCAAATAGTAAGCTGAGAAAGGTATAGAATAGAAGATATGGCCATGATTAAGAGTTTAGATATAATTCTCAACACACTGGGGAGCTACTTGAATGTTTCTTTTTTACTTTTTTTTAAAAAAAGCAATAGAGTAATGTAATCTGGTTACATTTTAAATGATCAAGTGGTTACAGCATGAAGAATGTATAGAAAGGAGGGTAGGGGCAGAGAGTCAAGTCAGAGGGGTTGGAGTCTAAAAAGATGATCATGGAGGTAAGAAATGAATTAGTTTCTACTTCCAGTGAAAGCAGAATAGCTTGTATCAGAGGAACTCTTCTCCCAAGAGCCACAGTAAAGGTTTGGAAAGTAATATAATTAAAATACAACACATAAAAATTTGTACTTAAAGGAAGATAGGTATGCTTAAATAGGCTTATGCATTATTAAGCAAAAGAATAAAGGCTGAAAATTAGTGATCAAAGCTTTCATCTCAAGAAACTATTTTTAAAAAGTAATAAACTCAAGGTAGAAGACAAGAAATAATGAAGAGCAAAAATTCAGTTAAATTGAAACAAATGTACACCAGAAGAAAATCAACAAAGCCCAAAGTTGGTGTTTTTTAAAAGATTAATACAATTGATAAGCTTCTAGCAAGACTATTAAAGACGAGAAAAGAAATTGTAAATGATGAGTATCAGGAATGAAGAAGAGCCCAACCCCAGAGACCCTCCCTACATTAAAAATCCTAAAGGAAAATATTATGAATAACTTCACACCTATCCATTTGAAAATGTAGGGGAAATGGGCAAATTCTTTGAAAAAATATCACTTACAAAACTAATAGAAAATATCTGAGTATTCTGATACCTATTAAAGAAATTAAATCTGTAGTTAAAAATCTTCCCCTAGCAGGCCCATTTTTAAATTGAGTGTTCTTTTTCTTATGGATTTGTAAGACTTACTTGTATTTTATGAATGAGAGCCTTACTGTCTTTTACATGTAATTCAAATATCTTTGCTCTGTGATTTGTCCTTTTACTCTCTTAAATGATTACAGTTCATCCCCTGAAATAGGAAGAAAGGTAGAGTACATGGGTATTAATTGAGTTAGGTTGGTCGGTTTGGTGGTTGTGAGAGGAGTTTTCTGTTTTCTAGTGGTGTCTGTGTTTTTTTCCTCATGTAGTAAAATATGGAATGTATTGTAACCCAACTCACAGTTCTTGGGAGGATTAAATATTTTAATATGTATCTAAAGCTCTTAAAGCAGAGCCAAACGGCAGTGGCTTAGTGGTTGAGCGTCAACCTATGAACCAGGCGGTCACAGTTTGATTCCCGGTCAGGGCACTGCCTGGGTTGCAAGTTTGATCCCCAGTGGGAAGCCTGCAGGAAGCAGCCAGTTAATAATTCTCTCTCATCATGGATGTTTCTATCTTTCTCTCCCTTCCCCTTCCTCTTTGAAATCAATAGGAAATATGCATTTAAAAACACACACATAAAAAGAGCCAAACGTACTAGTATATTATTATATTCTTAAGTTTTTACTGCCCCACAAAAATAGGAGTCTCAAAGAAGTGACCAGAGCAGGAAGCTTTGTATACCTTTTAGACAAAGAAACATACATTTGTGAAGAATTCGCAAGGCAGAGGGATTTGGGCTAAGGGTGGTAAATGGTGAAGAAGTAACAAGGTTTGTTTATGCAGCCCTCTCTGACTGGTGATGAGGAGGCCTCCCTTTCCCCTGGCACAGGGAAGTTACCTTTCACCTGGGAGATTTATCTCTTGCTTTGAGGGAACAAGGATGGGGGCAAGGGTAGATCAGAGTGACTTCAAACTTTTTCAGCTTAAGATCCACATTTTGAGGTAGCATGTTCTGAACCCTATCATCTGTAAATTTGTAGAAAGCAAGTTGGAAAAATGATTTGGCCTTATCTACTAATGTTAAAGATATACATACTCTTTGATCCAACATCTTTACTCCTTTTGTTTATATTATAGAAATCAGCCATCAGTTTTCCCAGGACCATGGGACTTCTTTCCTTGATTTTTTTTTTTTTTTTTTACTGTTGATGTACAGTATTTTATTAGTTTCAGCTGTACAACTCAGTGATTTATATAACTTGTGAAGGGATCACCCTGATAAATCTAGCACCATACACCCACCTGGCACCATACATAGTTATTACTGTGTTATTGACTATTTTTCTTATGCTATACATTACACCCATGACTATTTTGTAGCTACCAATTTATGCTTCTTAACTCTTTCACCTTTTACACACACACACACACACACACGAAGTGTTGACTACTTTTAATTTTTTCCCCCAAAGAACTTCAGTGACAAACAATATTTGTGTCTCTGGGAAAAAACGACAACAACCTTCATGGTTCACCATTATCTGACTGATAAAGCCTGAAATGTTAAACCTAGTTTCTCATTCCATGGCCCCAAAACTTTTATAAATGGTCTGTACTAGTAAAAATTCTTTTGTTGAAAGAAAAGAAACTGTTAAACATCATCACAATTTAGCCCTAGCCGGTGTGGCTCAGTTGGTTGGGTGTCATCCCATGCACCAAAAGGTTGTAGGTTCGATTTCCTTTAGGAGTACATGCCCAGGTTGCAGGCTTGATCCTTGGTAGGGGGCCTGCAGGAGGCAGCTAATTGATGTTTTGCCCTCACATCAGTGTTTTTCTCTCTCCCTTCCTCCTTTCTCTTTCCTATATAATAAAGAGGCAATATGCAAATTGACCATTACTCCAACACACAAGATGGTCACCCCCATGTGGTCAAAGATGGCCAGCAAGGAAGGGCAGTTGTGGGTGATCAGGCCTGCAAGGGAGGGCAGTTGGGGGTGATCAGGCCTGCAGCAGAGGGCAGTTAGGGGGGACCAGGCCTGTAGGCGAGAACAGTTGGGAGGGACAGGCCAGCAGGGGAGGGCAGTTAGGGGCAATCGGGCCAGCAGGGGAGCAGCTAGGCATTGATCAGGCTGGCAGGGGAGTGGTTAGGGGGTGATCAGGCTGCAGGCGGAAGCAGTTCAGGGCAATCAGGCAGGCAGGCAGGCGAGAGGTTGGGAGCCAGCAGTCCTGGATTGTGAGAGGGATGTCCCAGATTGGAAAGGGTGCAGGCTGGGCTGAGGGACACACACCCCCCAAGCACGAATTTTGTGCACCAGGCCTCTAGTAAATCAATAAAAAAAATACTTTAAAAATTATCACAATTTATTATCACAATAACAGAATTCCACAAACATCCAAGAACTGGAAACTAGGTGTGGCCCAGTTTTGTATGGATTGAAATTAATAAATGAGGAAGCAGGACTTTCCCCACATTTCTTATCTAGCAATAGATAAGAACTAACTTTCTCTGGAGAGCAACTTTTCCTTGCTTCTGTTTTGGTGAAATCCTGGCCTTTTGACTCAAGCTACCGCTACTAGTCTCTGTGTCTTTTAAATGAAATTTTAAGAATCTTGAGACTGCTAGCCAGTGGTTTCCCTCTTCCTTCTACTATTACATCCAGCTACAGTGAAGTGTAGGTTCCCCTAGGCTTACTCAGCAAGAACAAGGGAGTGAGCCCTGGGCAGAGCTAAAAGGGTTTTGAGCTTGGACAACACTGCTGCTCCAAGCCTGTTTCATCACTGTCTAGATTTGACTCCTTTTTTATCCCTCCTAAGAGCCTGGTGAATTTACCAGAGTTGGAGTCATTTCTAAAGAATGCTTCCTCACCCCATACTGGTAGTCAACCATAATATATATTGATCAGTGTCACCTTGATTCTCAGCTGTCATTGCACTGTTTTGATTTTCTACATAGTTGATCTTTTTGGACTTTCTGGAGATTTGTGAAAAGGTTGAGTAAAAATGAAAGTAATTGAATTTTAAAGTTCTCACTACAAATGCAATCTCTTTTTTTATAATCTCTTTGGATTATAAAACAATTAATTGATCAGTCCCAACTATTGAATGATGTTATCCCTTTCCAAGTAAAAATAAATGATCACATTTAGTCAGAATTGTCTGTTTCTGTGATTTTGTGCTAGAATATGCTTCTGGGATATTTTTGTTGTGTGATTGTTCTTCCTGGTCTAAAAATTTGGTAACAGGATTTTATAATGTTATGGTGGTACCAAATTCAGAAACTCAAGATTAGGATGCATGATAATGAAATTTGGTTCATTATTAGTTGTCTAAACCCTCCCTCTGGAAAGATAGGTGGGAAATTTTCTTAAATAAGCTGAATGAAAGTGTTTTTTATTAAAGAGAATGCACTCTGTTCCTCTTGTTTTTTAAGGGGAATCATTTTACTTAGCATGTTGATTTGGGTATAGAAATAGAACATAAGTCCTATGATTACATTCTTTGATTCAAAAAAAGTCTCTAATCCAACTAGTTCAGTATTAATGGTTCTGTTTCTTCAGAGGACAGGAAGTTAATCTGACATGCTTAACCCTATACCTTCAGAGAAATAAAATATATACTATATATAATCAAAATTTACCTATTATCTACTTAAAATATTTTAGTCTTTATCAAATATATATTTTGGATGATAATTGATAATATTTACATATTAAAATGCTTATATTGAGAAAAATATGTTTTAATTTCAATTTTTTTCCACATGTTTGATTCTTTCTTCTTCCTTTTAGGGTAGAGCCTGGATCAGAGTTGCACTCATGGAAAAACATTTATCTGAATACATCTCTACAGCTCTGAGAGACTTCAAAACAACCAGGTTTAAAATTCTTTTAATTTTCAAATATATACTTAAAAGGAACACCTAAAGACTTAGAAATAAGAATAGAATGAAGACTCATTCCTTTCTAAAGTCCTCATTATTTCCTTCTTTTCATACTACTCAGATAAATTCACTGTCTTCTCAGGAAACTGAAGTTTATCAACTAAACATATATCTACCATGGTTTATCTTTCCAGGCTTCACATTGTACTGGAATAAATCTTTTAAAATTACTTCTAATTCTCACTTTTTTGACAATTACAGTTTCATTCTTTAAACAGACTTTTCCCTGGCCAATTTGAAGAAAAATACACTAAATTCTACAGCATTCCTTTTCTTTCCTCACTACATCATTTATTTCTTTGCTTATAAAAAATATACATGGACCATTCACTTCTTTAATTCACATATATTTTATGTTTATATTTATTTACTTATAAATATGTATATAATTCACATATATATTTATAATTAATGACTGCCTGATTGTCTTTTTAGGGCAGCCTGTACCAGTGTGTGTGTGTGTGTGTGTGTGTGTATGTACGCGCGTGCCCGCGTGCGCACTTTGGTTTATATAAACTTAAGAGGTGATATATTGTGCCAGGACTTTATTGACTTTATTATTAATTTTTTTGGTAGTAAAAAGAGGGTTCATATTAGGAAAAGAATCATTCCTATTAAGCTCAGAGGTCTACTAATTTATGTTTATAGCTATTGTTAAAAAACACTTTTCTCCATTTCAAAAGTATTTGTAAATGAAAATATTCAATAACTTAAATGCCATAGACATGTACTGTTTATTACAGTAGCCACTGATAACATATAAAAAATTAAAATAAATTTAGTTATGTAAATTAAAATTAGTTAAAATTAAATAAAATTACTAATTTAGTTCAGTTGCTGTATTGAACAATTCAGGTGTTCAATAGCTATGTATGGCTTATGGATACCAAATTAGACAGCACAAATAATAGAACATTGCTTCCTCATAGAAGGTTCTATCAGACACACTGCCTTAGACATTTTTAAATTGCCATACTTATTAACCATGAAAGAGAAGAAAAGAGTGAAACAGCTCTAAACCAGTTTTGATAGAGAAAATTAGGCAGAAATATAAAGAAAGCATATATCTAGAATCTTAATTTTCATGTCCTGATGCAGTATTTTTTATTTTGGATTTGGAAAAAAATCTGGCCATTTACTATGAGATATTCTGCATAAAGTAAATCTGATATATATTTATTGACTTTTCTTTAAAGCAATATGATACTCCAATGAACTTTATGACATAAAACATTTGTTTTTTATTTCTTTTATTTATCATTACTAGTAGATTTAATTATGAAAGATAAATGTTGAAAATACTTTTGAAAATAAAAGTAGTACCAGAAAATTATAGATCAAACCTAAAAATCCTAAATTAATGAAATGAAAACCAAGTTTATACAGTAATCATCTCCTAGGCCTGTGGTCAGCAAACTGCGGCTCACGAGCCACATGCGGCTCTTTGGCCCCTTGAGTGTGGCTCTTCCTAAGCCTTAGGAGTACCCTAATTAAGTTAATAACAATGTACCTACCTATATAGTTTAAGTTTAAAAAATTTGGCTCTCAAAAGAAATTTCAATTGTTGTACTGTTGATATTTGGCTCTGTTGACTTATGAGTTTGCCGACCACTGTCCTAGACAATAACAAGATTATATTAAAATTATGATAGTCTTTTCTAAATAGAAGTTAAAGCATTAATAATATCTCTAAGTTGTTAGTCTTGTTTCTTAGTTTATTCAGTTGGGTGGGGTAGAAATAATTCTTGAATAGACTATTTTTTACAATGAGTAGTTTAAATATTTAAAGGGAAATGCTTTTTGTCTTGTTCTTAGGTGTTAGGTATGTTTTTTTAATAAAAAGGAAATGATTCAGCTCTAAAAAAGTTCATGAAGTACAAATATTCTTGCAACAATATATAAACATATATTATTCAAACAGAAACACGCCTTAGTATATGCTCATACACATAAATCAATACACACACATACAATATTTCTATGTCAGTATAATGGCTCTGTAATTCTCAAGAAAGGAACTAAGTAGGAAGTTATTTTAGAATTCTTATTTTAGAAGTTAGCTTAAAAATGAAGTTTTGAAAAGACGGCCTTTTTTTTAGCTATGTTTACTATACTTTTTTTTTTACTAAAATCAAACCAAATAAATTTCTTAAGTATAAATAAATGTAATTGTGAATTTCTAGCCAAAACATACCTATTTGGAAGTTTAGGTTTATAAAACACAAGCAAACTATTAGAAAGAATAGTTATACCCTACCTTTTGTCTGGATGCTCTCTGACATAAGTGCTGTAGAAATGAGAAATGATCTCTAATCCTTTCGAAATCTTGAGATTATCTGAACCGAGTGATTTCTTCTTGTTCCACTCTTCACAGATAACGAGTAATGACATCCTTCACACTGGGGATACAAGTTTTTGCCCCAGTACAGAAGGAGGAGCTACATGAGCTAGCACAGGCCAACCTGAAGTACTAATCAGTGAAAATCCAGGGATAAGATTGGGTGGAGGAACTGTGGGAAACAAACACAGTAAATCCTCGTCTTGAGCAAATGATGATATGCTGAAGTATTAGAGAAATCCGTGTGGTCTTTTTACTAAGGTGGAGGATGTCTTGGTGAGCAATTGAAAAAAAATCCTTGAAGAGTTTCATTATGTAATAATATAGGGGTTGGGATGTTATTGGGAAATAGTCAGAGTTGGGAAATGGGCAGAGTCAATATTAGAATCTAAACTAAAAAAATAAAATAAAATGGGGGGGGGCGGATTGTTTTAATAGGTTACTGGGAAGACCTAGGAATAGGGAAGTAAGGTAGAAGCTGAAATAATTTGCTCAAAGTTTTAATTTTCCCACACCCACAGGCTGAAAAATAATTAGAAAAGTTAAGCTAGTCCTGGCTGGTGTTGCTCATTGGTAGAGCGTCTGCCAACGGACCAAGGGTCGTGTTCAATTTCAGGTCAAGGGTATGTACCTGGGTTGCAGGTTCATTCTCTGGTGCCAGTCAGGGTGTGTGCGGGAGGCAACCAATTGATGTGTCTCTATCACATTGATGTTTCTCTCTCCCCCTCTCCCTCCCTACCACTCTCTCTAAAAATCAATGGAAAAAAATATCCTTGGGGGAGGATTTTTAAAAAAACGTTACAGAGACCTGTTTATTACTTTGTAATTACACCACAGTAACTTAATTAATGACAACAGTTGTCTTCAGAAGAAATGTTCATTTTCTCAATATTAAAGTAGGGGTAAGAGGAGTAAAATGTAAAATTAAAATTTAAAGCCCTACCCGGTTTGGCTCAGTGGATAGAGCGTCAGCCTCCACAGGGTCCCAGGTTCGATTCCGGTCAAGGGCATGTACCTTGGTTGTGGGCACATCCCCAGTGGGGAGTGTACAGGAGGCAGCTGGTCGATGTTTCTCTCTCATCGATGTTTCTGGCTCTCTATCCCCATCCCTTCCTCTTTGTGAAAAATCAATAAAATATATTTTTAAAAAATTAAACTTTAAAAATTACCAAGCTAGACTTCCAGTCAAGATGGCAGGGTAGATACACACAGTACTCACCCTCCTATAACTATATCAAAATTACAACTAAAGTACAGGACAACCATCATTAAGAACCACCTGAAATCTAGCTGAATATAAGTCTTACAACTAGGGATTTTAAAAAAGAAGCCACATTGAGACTGGTAGAAGGGGCAGAGACATGGAACAGGTTGGTCCCACACCCCCACGTGGTAGATAAAAAGCAGGAGGGATATCTCCCCTGCAGAGGTCTCCTCTGAGGAGTGAGGGGTATCAGTCTCACACTAGGCTTTCAAGCCCAGGTTTCCAGTGCTGGGAAGAGAAGTTTCCATAATTTCTGGCTGTAAAAACTTGCAGGGAGTGAGGCTGAGTGAGACAGAAGGCTGCTGATTTTTCACTGTCCTAGGCAGTTCCTCTTAAAGGGCCCACATACAGACTTCCTTTAACTCATTTCCTCTGAGCTCCAGTGCTTGGGTAGCAGCTCAAAAGGCACTAGAGTCATACAGGGAGGAACTGAATTGTCAGGCATCAGGACGAGAGCAGGGGGCAGTGGAGCAACTTTCTTCCAGACAGAAGTATAGGCAGAGGCCATAGTTCTTTGATAATCTCTCCATCTCAGCAGGTGGGCAACATATCTGAGTCTCCATCAACCTGGCTATTGCTGTTTGCCCTTCCCTGGTGATTTCCTGAGACTCCCCCCACCCCGTCTCCCCCACCTAACTTTTGGGCCAACTGAAGCTATTTTCAGTGGCTTTTCCATACAAATGATCTGTCTTTGCTCATGCTTCATACTTTTCTAAAATCTCTCAAACAAGCATATCTGGCCTAAGTGTGCCCTGTACCTCTTGCTGAATGGCTCCAGGCCCAGCATTAGCAGCAATGGCTGTGGTTAGCAGGTAGGCCTCTGCTGAGCACCTCCAAGCCCAGCACAAGTAGCAGCCATCTGAAAATCACTTTGTAGCTCAAGCCAGGTGGCACTGGTCAGACACAGGTGGCAGCTGAACTTTGCATGACCTTGTCCCCTCCTGGGACAGCACACCCAGTGGACAGCTTCAGACCATGTTGAAGAACCACCCAAACACCTCCACAGTGTCACACTCAAGATGCGGAATTAGCAGGCACCAAAATGCTGCTGAAGTAAGTCCTGCTCTGAGGGGCAGGCCTCTGCATAGCTATCCTCCATGGTGGTTGGTCGAAGCCAGTCATTGCAGCCAATTGTCCTGGGGGTGAATCCCTCCCATTACATGCCAACATAAATCAAGGCTCATCTACAAGAGGAGGGTGTATACCACGCATGTCAAACTTAAAGGCTAACATGGGCCAAATAAACAAGGCATGTGGCCCGTGGGCTGTGAGTGTGACATGCTTGGTGTACACAGATCACATGGGGAAAAGGGCATACCTGGAGTGCCCAGC